AGAGAAAGAGAGAGCACGCTCAGTGTATACCCTACAGCTCGTATGCCCAGTGTTTTCGGAGGAGATCTTCTTAACACGATACAGCAGATCGGATTGAACGGTGATTCAGGATACCCATCCTACTTGACACAAGCGAGACACTTGTGATCAATCAAGCATGATACAAATAAACCGAGATGGCTTGTAAATATTCACAATGGGGAGATGCCATTGATGAAAAGTCAACGAAGAAGGCGGGACAAGTTTGTGGACTGCCCCCCCCCCCCCTTTTCTCCTCTTTTTTTTTCTTTTCATTTGGACTTACAGCTGATGGAGGTCACTTGTTCACCGAAAAAGGCTTACTGCAACCAGTGCACCCTCCCATTTCCCCGGACACGTCTTTAATGATATAAAGGCCCAGTTCTGAATTGTGTTACTTTGATAAAGAGGATTTTATAAAGGGCATGAACCGACCACACCCTACACGACATTCAAAGAGTGACCCCACCCACCCCACCTCTTTGAAAGTCAAGGTATGAAAGATTTAAAATAATTGATGGAAAAGAAAACAAGACTGCGACTCCCTCTACCAGGGTGGCAAATTATATGGGGAAAAATGAAAAAAAAAAGAGTCAGTAAAATGACCGTTTATTTAACTAAAGACATATCTCTGAATATCCTGTGAAAAGTCAATCTGTGGCCGTGGTAGAGGGTAGTGATTCCATAGGATGTGACAACTGCATATGAGTTGTCTTTTTTCCCGTACAAATGTTGAAAGTACAAAGTACAGTTCGAGGTAAAGTAAACAATATCACCTTGCATAGCGCTAGCCTGTCAGCATTATTGAATTAGATACCTGAGACTTGGACAGAGGAGGGGGGGGGCACTCTGAAATTCCAACACACAAATTAATGTAAGGAAAAAAAACAAATAAAAATTATAAACTAAGTCCGTTCGTACCATGTTCTTTACTATCAGCCAAAGTCTGAAATCTGTGGCGTTAACACTGGCTCTGCGCCAAACACCCGGTGTGACAGGAATGGAAGTCCACTAGGATCCGTAGTCGGTTTCCAGTTACTTTGTACGGGTGACATTCGTCCCATATACCAGCCCCAATACTCCGACTAAGACTAACCTGTACTAATCGTATGTGACCCCGGACTTCCATTCCTACATGTAGGACTACCATTGTCTTCACACCGTACCAGTACATGTAGAATTTCAGTAAAACTTTGTTCGGCCACTGGTCACTGCTATGGTTCATTTGATGCTCTGACTGTCCCGAAGAGTCTGACGAGCCAGTAGAGTTGAAATAATTTGGTACAGGCTGATATTATTCTATCGATAACGCATTTTTCAAGTCACACATTGGACCTTTGATAAAGGCCCAAAGACCCGGCAAATGTTCAACGAATGTCGTATCTTCATTACTAATAATATCGTCGCCTACATGGTTTTTGTATTATTTTCAAGAATATCGTCGACATTATTATAAATTACTTACTGTTGTTTTTTCCCTTCCTCTATCTTTACCACCTGTGTTGTTTGGTTTCAGTTTCACGTCCCTACCTGGGACTTTCCAGTCATGTGATCACTATGTGACGTCACGTCAGAGGTCGCGATGGGTCGTGCTTATTTGATCGTTTTACTATTTCACAATGCATATATTTACTTTTTGACATTAGGCAAAAAGAAACGATAAATTGTTTTTTTTATTTAATCATCTGTAAAACTCGTTTTTTAAGACTAAAACTTATCGATGTTTTATATTTAAAATATTGAGCCACGAAACATACACAAGACACATGCAAAAGTATACTGCCGAATGGCCAAATTGAGAAAGCAGGGCTTGAGAAATATGTTAGATATGTCGGATATATTCCGAATAGATCTGAATTAAGTACTGTCCCTCCATGAAAATTTTTAACATTATGTTTTGCTTTTTATTTCTAAGATCATGCTTAGCATTGTTCAGTTCACCAAAAAAAAAAAAAAATCCCTAGACTTGTAAAAAAAATTGATGGAGTTGCTTCTGCAATTGGCTCTCTTTATGGTTTTACTTATAATTATGTAACGTAGGTAAAAGTGTGCAATTTGAGTAGTTACAATTTGAAAATATCGCAGAATAGTGCAGCATTGGATCCACCTAAAAAAAGGGATTTAGAAATAAGGCGCCCCCTCCCTGAATCCGCCATTGCAGTACTTGTAATACATGTAATAAGATTCAATACACTCGGGGTTTATGTCAGTAGCGGTTCTGCTTTCTTCTTCTGCTGTGACGTTCACTTCTATTCAAACATATCACAAAAATGTTGCATATAAAAAGACTGAGCTATAAACTCAATTCAATTTATTTCTGTACCGGTACATATGTTCAAAGATTAACAAGACTTTATGCTATATAACATAATAATATTATTACATAGAATGTGAATGAGGAAATATATCTTTGTAAAATGGACAGATGTACTTCTTAGATTTGACAGAAACAAATTACATGCTCTTCCGTCTGAACATCAGTTCCACATGTACACAGTCTCATATTTCTGGGGCGGCGTGACCATCTCCCCGTTTCAATACGGTTTCAAAACTATGAGCACTTAGCCGTAATCGAGAACAGGCTATCCTGTCCCGTTCCCTGAGACTGTATGATAAACAAATACCGTGTATAGACAATTTAGGATTAATCTTAAAGTATGTAACAATGGTGGCGTAATTGCATTTCACATGGACGTTTGTTGTACCGCGTGAAGTATAACTAAACTACAAGATATAACTATTCTAAAAATTTTCAATACAGTTTTATATAACAAATCCACATTCGTGATTTTCGAATAAGTTGAAACCTACTTGTATTATTTCACACAAGACTATCAACAATAAATATGTTTTTATGTATAATGTGAATTATAGGCCTACAAATATTGCAGAATTTAATTAGAGATTGCCTTACGATTAATAGCATAGCGAAATTACTTTATTCACCCATACAAATAAATTTAAAAAAGTACTGTGAAGGATAAATATACAGGGACCTTATCAAATTGTTTGCAGACGCAAAGGTGATTTTAGAGAGGGCTATTTCTAGCTTCTTTAGCTTCATCAACGTATCAAGGCCATTGACTAATGTAGGCCTACGTGGTAGAGAGATGAAGGCCTACTTTATTAATTTCGTCACAACAGCGACCTGTAGGACTTAAAGCCCACCTGCTTTCTAATCAATCAATTCACAGTGACTGTGTAGCATGCCTTAATTATTTTGTGGCTTTTTCCGATTATTTTCATTGGCCAGGTGTACACTATACCAAGACCTCGTGCTTTCAGTAAAAGAAGAAACTAAAATTTTTCCATCAGATGAAGTGAACATGGAAAGATCACCTAGTGCTACTGCGACATTTTTTTCCTCCTGATTGCCTGCACCTTCAATTTCTGGGTCAGACAAGCCATGCAGAGAAGAAACAGAGGAAACAGTGGCTGTGGATTCCTTGGAGGTGGATTTCTTGGAGGAAGCCTGCGACTCCTCTGTGACGTTATCGTCTGACGTCACGTTGTCGTCACCACGCATGCTCCCCGTGAGCACTGAGGCTAAAGTGATTCTGCGATGTTCTCGGCTGCTCTCGGTCAGGTATGGAATAGACATACCTCCTTCCTCGCGGAAACCGAAACTCGCATGACGACCGCCTTCTGAAAAAGTGAATGTTTAAGTTTCAATCTATATCGTAAGTCTAGTCCTTAATACGTCTTAATACCAGGATTGTCTTATTTGTTGGATCATACATGTACCAATAAATAAATAAATAAATAATATTTAAAAAAAATAATAATACACCCAATAATTTTGCTTGGACGACCGGCTTCTGTAAAACTGAATGTTGTTTTAATGTTTATCGTAAGTTCTTAATACCAGCATTGTCTCACCTGTTAGATCCTTCCTGCCCATATGAAATGCATCCAATAATTTTGCAAATTTGAATCATTTATTGCACTTTGTGTATGTTTTCATTTGTTGCTTAGCTCGCAAATTGTATTTAATATATAAAACTATAATTTCATTCCGTTTTATTTAACTGAACAGATTAATTAAGAAATAAATTAATACATCCCCCGGGGATTAATACTATTGCCTCTGACCTGGGCGTCTCAAGCGTGGTCTAGGCTGATTGAAAGCCGTCACGTATGGCTCTGGCGCAAGTTCCACATCTCTTGGCACTGGAAATGTTTGTAAGGGAATAGGTTGAGGCAGCCGTTCGATCTGAAAACGAGATGTACGTGGCTTCATTTTATGAGCGTTTACAATGTACATGCAAGAGGAGGCTTACTTTCTGAGGCAGAACGTCTGCTATGGCTCCATTCCTTAACAAAATTGGAAAAAATATTGATCTAGGGCCGTCGAAGCCACTGCAAAGTGCCCCTCAAATAATGCTTTAAAACCTTGTATACCGCTTTTTTTATATCACAGTTTTGTAATTTTTAACATACACATTCCGACATGTCTCATGCGTTATTTTATAATATTGATTAATCTTAAAAATTTGGTACAGTTAGTGTTTAGTAGCTTTTACAAGCACCTGTATTTTGTTTACATGAAATGCTCTTTATAGTAATTTATTTCGAATCTGCATATTTTGCGGGAGAATCTATATGAAATAACAGTTCTGACACTCTTACTCTTTCAATTTGTCTTCCTCGGAACTCTCGGCTCTGGGAAATTGATATATACTCTGGGTCCTGAGGTTGGAGAGGAACACATTCCGCTGTAAAGATACATACATACATGTAGTCTAAGCAATCAGGGTTTAGTCATAGCATATTATATATAAATGCATGTATACCAGTGGCAAATCTAGAGGCAGATTAGGGGGTCCTGACCCCACTTCGACTTCTGATAAAAAACGCACCAAAAAAATCTAGCTGAATATTGTTCTAAACCGTACAAAATGGCACTATTTTCCCTCCAAATCACCACTGTTTTTCAAGGGCCCTCGAGCGTGCCCCAAACCTGACGACAAGGAGGCCTGTCATTCCCTAAAAATCCGCCCCCCCCCTTTCAAAAAATTTTGAATCTGCCCCTGTATACCATGCTATATAGGCCCTTCTCAGGCGCTGCGGTAAATTTTAACCGGACCAGTCCTCTTTGAGAGTTCTAGGAATTTAAATTGTTTAGTGAATAACTGTCAAGATTAAAAGTATAGCTCATTTTAAAATCCCCAATAATTTGTTAACTTACAAACTAACAAAACCAAAATCACAAGCAACCCCCCCTGGAGATGACAATAATGAGGTAAGCGCAATGAGCTGTTACCAGTTGTCCCTGTGGGAAATTCAACAGAACCGGTCTTTTTTAGGGTTCTAAAAAGTCGCTAAACCTTCAAAATTGAAATGAAATTCTTATCACAATTTTTCAATGATTTTTTACGTCAGGTTGTTACATGTAACTAAATCAACAACAGTGCAACAAACGCAAAACCAAAAGCTCCCTGGCGATGGCATTTTAATCATTAAAATGAGTCAAGGTAAATGCAGTACGTCTTAAGAAGTTGTTTTAACTCACCCATGTTGAAGCTGTCCAGGAGCCTCTCTTGCACCAGCACTATAGTAATCCGATGAAGAGTTGTACACCCGCCCTGTAAGACGAACTCTGCTATTGCCTCCAACATCCCCTTGCCTACCGCCTGGGGGTCCTTCTTGGCCGCTCCTGTACAAAGGCAAACGGAGATTTCAGAAAATACAATTTTGTGTTAACAATAATCTAAGAACCTACACTGTACTACAGTAATTGAAAATATTATGTTGGTTACTTCATTCTACATCTTTATTTCACGAATTAGACTGAGTGCATTTTATAGTTTACATTCTAAGATGACATTCAAACTCGCTAGAACTATGACTTAGTTGGTATATATGTAATTCATCAGAAATGTGAAAAAACATAGAATATAATTATTAAAATGTGAATGCTGAAAAAGAGCATTTACACTGCCTGTTCAATCTGCCCAACCCAGTGCTTTTTACCTGTGCCAAATGCGGGCATTGCAATAGATTGGGCTTCAAGGCGATTCGCTTCTTGCAACACTCTTTTCGTTTTCTCCTTCCACGTGCCATTTGAATGAATATCCAGGTGGATCACGTGTTTACAGTTCAGGTCACCGGGGTCACTGACCGCCAGGCCGTTGCTCCCTGTCCGTCCTGTCGTGAATGCACATAAAATGGGCACAATTGAAATGGCAATTCAACTATTTCTTGCGTGTATTAGAAATGTATTAACAAACTGAACATTACCTAATAAAACCGAAAAAATAGGATGAAATATCAAAAGCCGATTTGTTTTGCCAGGGTACTATTGCTTAAAAGCGCGGCGAGGGACCGCAGTGTTAAAGAGCGTATTCTAAGCACGTGATAAACTAAAATAAACAATGTGAGAATGTGTATTACATATTATGAGGAATTAATTAAGATAGTTTCTCTGTCAAAGTTGGCTTTAAAAATAGAGAGTGGTAAAATTCAAGGGAGCGCGTGCTCTATAAATGTAATAAATAATACACCAATAACCGCCGTGCAGAAGTGTACAAGCACATTCAGAACAGCGGAATAACAGAACTAAAAAGCTTGCCGCTTAATTCCCGATTAGACACTGAATAAATTCTCCGCGAGGATTACGCAACAAGCATTCAAGAACAGACATTAGCCAAGGTTTCAAAAAAAAAAAAAAAAAAAGAAAAATAATAATAATAATTATAATAAATCTGAAAATTTATAAATCTGAACATTTATCTCCTCCAGATTTTATTGCAGATCTTGACGAACCTCAAGAATTGAAATAAAAATACGCGGAATTCCGAGTTTCCGCGGAAAAAAGCTCATCTCTGCAAGTGGGTCGGCCATATTTGAACGGCGGATCTGTTAGTCCGCTGTTCTGAATGCACTCGAATATGAGAAATGATTAGTAACAATGTATATATTATGACAAATGATTAGTAACAATGTATATATTATGACAAATGATAAATAAAGATATCTTCTCTGTTAAGGTTGGCTTTAGAAAACATTTTATAATTCGAGTGTTAATACCTACCAACGCGTTTTCTAGATTCTTCATAACCCCTTCCCCCGACTCTAGCAAGGTCATTGGCTAGCTTAGCTGAAAACAAACAAATGGCATACGTTTTGAATTATGTAACATACGTGATACTTTTTACCTATTGCGTGGCACTCGTTAGCCATACAGACGGTGTCCATGGGCACTTTGACAGATAGACACCCCTACACTTGGCGCAGCCAATTTATTAACCTCTCTCTCTCTCTCTCTTGCTCGTTCGCTCGCTCTTATTCCCTAGAGTAGGGGTCAAGTTGTGAAGGCGAGGACTCCCTCCCAGGGGTGGATTCAGGATTATTTCAAGGGGGTCCGGAACGTGTTTTGGAGAGCAAACAGAGCCCTTTTGTACGGTTTAGAACAATAATTTAGTTAGTCAAAACTTTCAAGAGGGGAATATCGGTGCGATATATTTTTCAGAAACCGAAGGACGGCCCTGACGCCCCCCCCTCAAAATCCGCCACTGCTCTCCCCTGCCGTTACTTACATGACATGATCCTACAAATGTATCGGTACTAACTACACCTGAGATACCTCGATGGGGTCGCTAGTAGTCTCTTACTAAATTCTTTAATCGATTTTGTAGGCTAAAACCCTACAAGAGGCCCCCAAGATATCAGATGGGACATTTGATCAAGATTAGAACGAACGACGTCCTCTGCGACCTTTAATTTTATCTGATATGGACCGATCTTATTTTATCAACATTTTCACCCCATTTCCATAGATTTTTAGATCGAGCTATCCCTGTGGGGAGTCTCACTACATTACTGTCAGCTTGGCCGGCTTAAGCGTCTGTCCCGCCTACTAAAAGCTGTAAGGGGGTAATTAACTATGGTGCGCGCTCGTCTGACTACAATTTAGCGTGAACCACAAGGAAGTTAGGTCGATCTAAATTTTGATCCCTGGATCGATCTAAATCTTTGGAAATACACCCTTTGACAGTGATCTAGTGCTGGATATCACCCATAGTTGGGCATGGTTCACAGCAAAAAAAAAAAATGGGAAAGCGGGTTCATGATTTTGGTTTTATTGACACCATATCCTCGGGGGGGGGGGGGGGGTACTTTTTGATGTATGGGTCAACATGGGTTAAATATATGTGAATATCTAGTGAAAAATTTCTCTCCGCAGCCGCGGAGGAGGGTGCACTTCTACACTTATATCTAAGAATATCTAGATAAAATCGCTCTGGCTTTGATAAAGGGCCAATCTAGCTCTGCCCTGTATACCTCCCGTTAAGTTGGACTTGCAGCTATTGCAGTAAACATCGGCGTTCACTTCTGTCATGCTCTTCAGCACCACTTCGATGTCTGTAGTATTCAGTATCTGCTGCTGGTGGGCCGGGACGCTGGAGGCCGCTCCCCCCATCTGAAATAATTAATACAGCAATTTCAAAACAAGTTTTTTGCCTGAAAATGTGGACCTTTTCGACTTCTATGTAAACCCAATTTTGAACTGGTATACAAACAATATCAAAGATTGTCTCTTCAAGCCAAAAAGTAGGTATTTTCGGACATCCCGAACTATTTTTCTCTCTACCTCTCTAGTGGTCGGAGAGAGAGAGAGAGAGAGAGAGAGAGAGAAAGAGAGAGAGCACGCTTAATGCATACCCTCCAGCTCGTATGCCTAGTGTTTTCGGAGGAGATCTTTACACGATACAGCAGCAAGGATTGAACGGTGATTCTGGATACCCATCCTACTTGACACAAACGAGACACTTGTGATCAAGCATGATACTATAAAGCCGAGATGGCTTGTAAATATTCACAATGGGGAGATGCCATTGATGAAAAGTCAACGAAGAAGGCGAGACACGTTTGTGGGCCGCCCCCCTTTTCTCCACTTTTTTCTTTTCCTTTGGACCTTCAGCTGATGAAGGTCACTTGTTCACCGAAAAAGGCTTTCTGCAACCAGTGCACCCTCCCATTTCCCCAGACACGTCTTCAAAGGCCCAGCTCTGAATTGTGTTACTTTGATAAAGAGGATTTTATAAAGGGCATGAACCGACCCCGTCCACCCCACCTCTTTGAAAGTCAAGGTATGAGAGATTTTAAATAATTGATGGAAAAGAAAACAAGGCTGCGACTCCCTCTACCAGGGTGGCAGATTATATGGGGAAAATGAAAAAAAAAAACAGACTTAGTAAAATGTCCATTTATTTAACTAAAGACATATCTCTGAATATCCTGTGAAAAGTCAATCTGTGGCCCTGGTAGAGGGTAGTGATTCCATAGGATGTGACAACTGCATATGAGTCTTTTTTTTCGTACAAATGTTGAAAGTACAAAGTACAGCCCGAGGTTAAGTAAACAATACCATCTTGCATAGCGCTAGCCTGTCAGCATTATTGAATTAAATACCTGAGACTTAGACAGAGGGGAGGGGGACTCTGAAATTCCAACACACAAATTAATGTAAGGAAAAAACAAATGAAAATTATAAACTAGGTCCGTTTGAACCGTGTGCTTTACTATCGAACAAAGTCTGCAGCGAAATCTGTGGCGTTAACACTGGCTCTGCGCCAAACACCCGGTTTGACAGGAATGGAAGTCCACTAAGATCCGTAGTCCGTTTCCCATTACTTTGTACGGGTGACATTCGTCTCATATACCAGCCCCAATACTCCGACTAAGACTAACCTGTACTAATCATATGTGACCCCGGACTTCCATCCCTAGGACTACCATTGTCTTCACACCGTACCAGTACATGTAGAATTTCAGTAAAACTTTGTTCGGTTACTAGTCACTGCTATGGTTCAGTTGATGCTCTGACTGTCCCGAAGAGTCTGACGAGCCAGTAGAGTTGTAATAATTTGGTACAGGTTGATATTATTCTATCGATAACGCATTTTTCAAGTCACACATTGAACCTTTGATAAAGTCCCAAAGACCCGGCACATGGCCAACAAATGTCAATTTACGTTACTTTTAATATCATCGCCTACATGGCTTTTGTATGATTTTCAAGAATATCGCCGACATTATTATAAATTACTTACTGTTGTTTTTTCCCTTCCTCGATCTTTACCACCTGTGTTGTTTGGTTTCAGTTTCACGTCCCTACCTGGGACTTTCCAGTCATGTGATCACTATGTGACGTCACGTCAGAGGTCGCGATGGGTCGTGCCTATTTGATCGTTTTACTATTTCACAATGCACATATTTACTTTTTAACATTAGGCAAAAAGAAACGATAAATTGTTTTTTTTTATTTAATCATCTGTAAAACTTGTTTTTTAAGACTGAAACTTATTGATGTTTTATATTTTAAATGTTGAGCCACGAAACATACACAAGACACATGCAAAAGTATACTGCCGAATGGCCAAATTGAGAAAGCAGGGCTTGAGAAATATTTCAATATGTCGGATATATTCCGAATAGATCTGAATTAAGCGCTGTCCCTCCATGAAAAATTTTAACATTATGTTTTGCTTCTTACTTCTAAGATCATGTTTAGCATTGTTCAGTTCACCAAAAATAATTCCTAGACTTGTAAAAAAAATTGATGGAGTTGCTTGTGCACTTGGCTCTTTTTATGGTCTTACTTATAATTATGTAACGCAGGTGGAACTGTGCAATTTGAGTAGTTACAATCTGAAAATATTGCAGAATAGTGCAGCATTGGATACACCTAAAAAAGGGGGTTGGAAATAAGGCGCTCCCTCCCTGAATCCGCCATTGCAGTACGTGTAATACATGTAGTAAGATTCAATAAACTCGGGGTTTATGTCAGTAGCGGTTCTGCTTTCTTCTTCTGCTGTGACGTTCACTTCTATTCAAACATATCACAAAAATGGTGCATACAAAATGACTCAGCTATAAACTCAATTCAATTTATTTCTGTACCGGTACATATGTTCAAAGATTAACATGACTTTATGCAATATGAAATAATAATTATACAGTATGTGCATGAGGAAATATATATCTTTATAAAAGGGAAAGATGTACTATTTGGATTACAAATAAAATATTCTAACTAAATGGCGAGATACGCCTGCTTGGTGTGTTTACTGCAAATTTATCAAAAACACAATTTATGCAGCATACATTAACAATTATAAGTACCATAATATAGATCAACTAAAATATACAAGAAATATGCTAGGAGTCACCAAGAAGAGCAGTCACTTCACTTCTTTTCCTTTATGAATTTATTATAAAAATAGTAAAGGGAGACGGAGACTTCATTTTCTTTGTACTTTTGCTTTTGTCTTATCACTGTTAAACACTTTGTATGATTTACTTTCTGGTAACCTTGTATCAGCTTTTAGGGACACTTTAGTTAAGATATAAACAGTTTTATATAACAAATCCACATTCGTCATTTCCGAATAAGTTGAAAGTTAGGCCTACTGGTATTATTTCACACAAGACTATCAACAATAAATGTTTTTATGTATAATGCGAATTATACAAATATAACAGAACTTAATCAGAGATAGTCTTACGATTAATAGTATAGCTAAACTATTCTATTCACCCATACACATAAAATTAAAAAATTCACGTAAAGGTGAAATATACAGAGACCTTATAAAATTCTTTTTACAAGTCTTTTGCATTCTGATAGCCTTGTTTGCTGACGGTGATTTTACATATTTCTAGTATCTTCAACTTTATCAACCTATCAAGGTCACTGGTGGGCAGATATGCTTTATTAATTTCGCCACAACATCCACCCAGGCCCGTAGCCAGGGGGGGTTCGAAAGAACCGCCCCTTTTGCTGGGAAAAGGTCCACTCTGGGTAGAATTTGATCTAGGTACATGAATTTTTCATGGGAAAAGGTCCACTTTTTTAGAAAACGACCCCCCCCCCCTTTTTGAAATTGCTGGCTACAGGCCTGTCAACCTGTATGACTTTAAACTCCCCTGCTCTCTACACACGGTCAAATCAAAGTAGGCCTAATTGTGTAGCAGGCCCTAATTATTTTGTGGCCTTTCCTGATTATTCTCATTGGACAGATGTACGCTATACCAAGACCTCATGCTTTCATTTAAGGTAGAAACCAAAATTTTTCCATCAGATGAAGTGAACATGGAAAGATCACCTAGTGCTGCTGCGACATTTTTTTCCTCTTGAATGTCTTCACCTTCAATTTCTGTATCAGACAAGCTATGCAGAGAAGAATCAGAGGAGACAGTGGCCGTAGATTCCTTGGAGGACGCCTGCGACTCCTCTGTGACGTTATCGTCTGACGCCACGTTGTCGTCACCACGCATGCTCCCCGTGAGCACTGAGGCTAAAGTGATACTGCGATGTTCTCGGCTGCTCTCGGTCAGGTATGGAATAGACATACCTTCTTCCTCGCGGAAACCGAAACTTTCATGATGGCCGCTATCTGTAAAAGTGAATCTTTAAGTATATATCGTATGTCGAGTCCTTGGTACTTAAGGGATATCTGAAGATCAGAATTGTCTCGTTTGTTGGATCATACCAAAGCATGTAAAAAACACTCAATGTTTTTTTTTCTGGACGCCTGTAGAGCCGCATTTTGCAACTGAACGCATTTTGCAACTGGATGAAGTGAACAACGCATTTTGCAACCAAAGAAAATCGTGAAAACGCATTTTGCAACCGCAACGCATTTTGCAACCAGGATTTTTTTCTAAGTCCCTGAAACAGCTTGAAGTACGAGACAGGTAGGCTAAGGGTAGAATTGGAGTGGGGACGGGTTTGCTTCGACTATGTATGCTGAAACTGGCCAGGCTGCCCCTGGGGTGGACGATAATATAAAACTTATTTCACATTGTAATTTCCTAAATCATTAGAGTTAGGAGGTTGAAACGTCAGGGAGTAAAAAAGATATTGTTAGGCATGCACATAGGGGTGTGGCCGTCCCTAGGGGTGGTTGATTGTAATTTTACATTGTATTTTCTGTTATCTACACTTATATCTGTAGAATTAGGCAATAAAAGCGTTGGGGATTAATACCATCGTAAGAAATGTGCGTAGGCACTCCAGATTTTTGTGACTTGGGGTGTAGTTGTCCCTGGGGGTGGTTGAGATCGTTAGAGATGTGCTTGGGCACATAGGA